TGTTTCTGTGTCCTTTGGGTAAATACCTAGGAGTGGAATTGCTGGATCATATGGAAGCTCTATGTTTAGTAGGTCCAGAAATCTCCACACAGCTCTCCATAGTGGTTGGACCAGTTTGCACTCCCACCAACAGTGCACAAGAGTTCCTTTTTCTCCACATCCTCGCCAACATTTGTTGTTGCTAGTTTTTTTAATATGTGCCATTCTCACTGGTGTGAGATGGTATCTCATGGTAGTTTTGATTTGCATTTCCCTGATTACAAGTGATGTTGAACATTTTTTCATATGTCTGTTGGCCATTTGCATTTCCTCTTCAGAGAAGTTTCTTTTTAGCTCTTCTGCCCATTTTTTGACTGGATTATTTTCTTTGTTGTTGCTGAGTCTCATCAGCTCTTTGCAGATTTTTGTGATCAGTCCTTTATCATTAGTGTTGGGTGCAAAAATGTTCTCCCAGTTGGTGGGGTTTCTCTTTGTTTTTGTTATTGTCTCTTTTGCTGTGCAGAAGCTCTTTAATTTGATGTAGTCCCAGCTGTTTATCTTTCTCTTCACTATCACTGCTTTGGGTGATGTGTCTGTAAAGATGTCTTTGATGTGCAAATCCCGTAGTGTTTCGCCTATATTTCCTTCTATGTATTTTATGGTTTCAGGTCTTATGTCTAGTTCTTTAATCCATTTTGAGTTGATTTTTGTGTATGGTGTGAGGTAGTGGTCAAGCTTCATTCTTTTGCATGTAGCGACCCAGTTTTCCCAGCACCATCTATTGAACAAACTTTCTTTGCTCCAATGCATAGTCTTTGCTCCTTTGTCAAAGATTAGTTGACCATAAATCTGTGGGTTTATTTCTGGATTTTCTATTCGATTCCATTGGTCTGTATGTCTGTTCTTGTTCCAATACCATGCAGTTTTGATGATTATGGCTTTGTAGTATAGTTTGAAGTCTGGGAGTGTGATGCCTCCATTTCCTTCTTTTTTTTTCAGTAGAGCTTTGGCTATTCGGGGTTTTTGGTGATTCCATATGAATTTCATCAATAATTGTTCTATTTCTTTGAAGAATGCCATTGAGATTTTGATTGGAATAGCATTGAATCTGTGTATTGCTTTTGGTAGGATGGCCATTTTAATAATGTTTATTCTTCCAATCCATGAGCAGGGGATGTCTTTCCATTTCTTTGTGTCTTCTTCTATTTCTTTTAACAGTGTTTTATAGTTTTCTTTGTATAGGTCCTTTACCTCTTTTGTTAGATTTATTCCCAAATATTTGATTTTTTTTGTTTCGATAATAAAAGGGATGGTTTTTTTGATTTCTTCTTCTTCAGATTTATTGTTTGTGTATAGGAAGGCTACTGACTTTTGCGTGTTGGAAAATCCAGGATACTTATATATTAATCCAATTTTCATTTTTTCCCCAAATAATGATAGGTAATATTGAGTTTTTTAATGTATTTTTTATTTAAAACTTTTTAAGTGAAGTGCCATTTTACATCCTTGTTAATATTTTGACAGTACAGGATTTCTCTCCTCAGGTGTAGTCACCGCAGCCCTCCCACCACCAAAGCACCACAGTCCTTATCTAGTTTTACTGTAATTTCTATGAGCAAGTACATTGTTAAACACACAAGGACTTTTGAATTTTCACTTTTGCAACTGTCGTTTATATACTGCAGTCTACTTGGATGATTATACCTGTAGGATGAATTCCAAAAGGGAGATTGCTGGGAAAGGATGCTCAGTGCACTACTGAGAGATGCCGAGAGTATTAGTTCCTCATGAACGCCTAAACCTGTTTGCTGCTCCTTCCTCTTAAGGCATGGAGATGGGTTACATAAACTATTGGGGTTCAACACAGACACCCTTCACACACTCTAACTGTAACTTCTATTCCTCTCTCTCCAGGACTGGCTGTTGGAACTTCCCCCAAATGTGGGCAAGGGTGGTGGCTCGGGGCAGTAACTCTCCTAGGTCTGGTCCACCCCCAGACCCACAGAAAAAGGCCAGACAGGGCAAAACAGAGTGCTCTCCATCATTGTGCTGTGCTCCCTCTGGAGCACACACTTGCAGTCAACAATTGACCCTGAATCTCCCCCAACCCCCAGGTGTTGGAAATGGGCACAGTCACACTTGCCGCTGACCGGGGCTAGGGAGGAAAGGAAGGGCACCTGCCCAGTGTAGGAATCTGCGTGGACACGTGGCATAGGCTGCAGGCACACGCTGTGTGGTTAATAATGTTTTCTTTGAACTAAAACTCTTATTTTGAACTGAGAGTCCGACCCCAGTGGCGGCTGAAGAAGTGTCAGACATGGAGCCATCAGGAAAACAGGATGCTTTCCCAGGTCTAGGAAAACAGGGTGTACCTGGGTCAAGATGACCAGGGAAGTGACAACAAACTCTGGGAACATGACAAAGACCAGGACACCATGTGATGGGCTGTTGTGGTGGGAGTTTCTCTTATGGTTAGCTGTCTTTGTTTAGTTCCCTAGGAAAAGGACAGCTTGAGATGTCAAAACAGGTTTTGGAGGTAAAAGTTCTCTCAGATCGCTGGCTTTCTGACAACGAAGTGTGCATTATAGATTCAATTTCTGTCTCTGTTCAATTGGCTTCTGGCAGTGACAGGCAGCCTGACCCCAGGATTTTCTGGTTACACCACCTCACCATAACTTCACCACGGCCTCATGTCTGCACATTCACTCACAGCTGGCTCAGGTAGCATTGCCCACATTTCTCCTATTGGGATTCCGGACAGTTGGCACAGAGCTCACCTTTGGCCACACACTACCTGGGCCTTGGCCAAGTGTGCAATCTAATACCTGCTCCTCTCCAGACTGTCACCAGTCTGATTCTTGATTACCACCTCTGAACATGGCAAATGGGTGAACAAAGGGTCTCTTTATTCTTTGCTATTGTGAGAGACAGGAGGAACAGGAGGGGCAGACTTGGGGTTCCACTCAGAGGTCCTAGCAGCAATACTATTACTGCCAGGTATTATTTCTACCCAGAATTAGGTGACTTACATTGGGATTTGAATAATAATGACAAGGTAGTAACTGAATTATTTGCAAGGAGCAAATATTCCATAAAATGAGTAAAAATAATATCTACAATAATTGCAATGATACAAATAAGGGTTTTGTAGTACCTGATTGTCTTTGGTTGGACTGCTTGCTCTGCCTAAGGAAGAAATTACCTGCAAAGGCTCGTGGCAGTGGGAAAATCAAAGTTTCTTTTTCAGTTCAGACTCCAAGCTCTCACACGGAAAGAATCCTCTACTTCTTCACAGTGTCCTCAAGAAACTTGATGCTACAGAGAGAACACAGCTGCTGCCACCAGACAAACAACCAAGATCAGGGAGACATCTGGGCAGCAGATAGCCTTTCCAAGGGATAATAGGAAATGACTAAGAGCCAATGAGAGAGCTTTACTGGAGGAGAAACCTGAGACTGAGATCAGAGCCCACAGTCCATGCTGACTGAAGAGTGTGAGAACTCAGTACTTCTCAATAAATCTTTATTTCATACACATAAATATCTGTTTTGTAGGAAACTCCTGATTTGATATTAAAAGTGGTTATCCCTGATTAGTGAAATCAAAGAGAAATTATATATTCTTTACATGTGACTCCTAATGGATTCTGTAGCTTGTCTGTATTACAGAGGGAGAAAGGGAGGGTGAGATGTGGTGATTCTACTTTTACCACAAGGGAAATTTTTCAATGCACAAAGAATGTGTGCTTCTCTAAAGGTAACCTACAGGGTCTTAGAAGGATCCTGGACATGGAAGGGCAGAAAAGCTTTTTTTTGGTCGGGGCAGGAGGTGGAGGTAGGAAAAGGCAGGAAAACTCCATTCTGCCCTGCAGGTACGCACCTACCTTTGTATTCTGAAAGCCACAGCAATGGCTGCTGTCCTCTTCCACACCTCTCCTGACCCCTCTCCTTTCTGGCTGCCTAGGTGATGGTGAATTCCTTCAAGGTGCACTAGATGTAGGAGATGACAAGCCTGAGGATTGCATTTTGTCTGCTGGGTTATCCTGGGAGAAGCATGTGTCTTTGGAGCCCTGAAATGTGCTGGCTTGAGGGAAACAAAACATATTTACTATCTCAGAAGAGGATTGAGGGTGTGGTAGAGCTGGTAAACTTTCCCAAAGCCTCCCTCTTCTTTTGGGATCACCATGCACAAACACAGGGCTAGGTAACCAGCTGTTTTGGTTAATAACTCAATGTGAGCAACACCACTATGATAGCAAACATTATTCAGCATTTTTTTAAATTTATATATATTTTACATCATTGTTCATTTTTTTTTAACAGTGTTTGCTTTCTTTTCTCAGGTGTAGTCCCCATAGAATTTCCACCACCATTTCACCTGCACCATAGTCCCCTGTGCTCCTCTCAACCCCGCTCTCGATTCCTCTCCCTCACCCACCGCTGCAGAATGTCTCTGATTTATAGTTGTCTGTTTACTTTTATTTATTCAGCATTGGTTTTGACCAGCAACTATACCTCATTATTAAAGGCACTGCATTTTACCTATTTAACAAGTTCATGCCCAAGCTTTTATAAATTAAGCTGCTTTGTAAGTAGCAAGTATTTAACTCTTTGTTCACATCACATAAAGTCCTAGAAGTAGAAATGCTGGGTTACAGAATGTGCAACTCTTACGGTTATGTATTTGGAGGGGAGCCAACAGGTTTTCAATGCATGGTTCATTCATGTAAGGTACTCAAGGTCCTCATCCTTCTCACAGAAGATACCACCACCATTCCCCTTACTGACATAGCAGGGCTGGGGCAAGAGAGGAAAGTGGGCAATTCCTGGGATCCGCCGATGGGAGCAGGTTCTAAAGTCCTATGTGGGGCTCTGGGGGAGGTGGCCAGATATCCCGCTGGTGGCATAGGTGTGACACAGTGCGCATGCCTGACACAGCGTGCATGCCTGACACAGTGCGCATGCCTGACACAGTGCGCATGCCCGGTGTTACACAACTTCCGGTTGGCGTGGTCAGGGGGTGGGGCGATTGCGGTTTCCGGTGTGATCACCGATATCCGGTGTGATCGCGGCTTTCGGTTGAGAGCTGTCGGTGTGGAGTCTTGGTTTCTTTGTTCTTTCTCGCTGACTGAAACTCAGTGGGTAGGTTCACAAATCAGTCCTTTTGAGAGTGTGTGAGTGAATGTGAGCGGGTCACAGTGGTGAGATTTGTAGCCTCTGAGGAAGCAGGCCCTCGAGGCCGGCTTTCACACAGGTGTGGTAGCCTCCATCTTGGTTGTCGTCGCTTTGGGGCCAGGACAAAGGAGGACAAAGATGGTGGGCTGCAGCCGGGAGGAATCTTGGGGCAAGTCTTGGGGGTGTTATTTGATGTATCTGAGACTTGGAAGCACCAGGAACTACCAACAGCGCACAAATTCGGACTCCTCGGTGGGGAGCCGCAAGTGGCAGTGCATTAGACAGTCTCGTATGGGAAAGTACAATTGTGAAACTAAATCTCTTTAGGAAAGTCGTAATATATTTTTGAGTTGTTGAAAGTCTCTTATCTGCCAAATTGGCCTTGAAAAAATAATTTGAAGATGGCTTTATGTGATGTGGTTGGAAAACAGGTGGTTATTAAAATAATTTGAAGATGGCTTTATGTGATGTGGTTGGAAAACAGGTGGTTATTAATTCAAGACTTATTTTGGAGCTCTCATCCTATGTGGGAAAGAATTTAGAATCAGCAGTTGGCCATGGAAATTGTCCAGTATTGTAGCTGCACCCCTGCCCCCAATCTCCGTTTCACTTACTTGGGGTTATCCATGGTTGAAAAATACCACCTAAAGTAAGATCTTTAGAGAGCATATCCATGTAACTTTTATTGCAGAACATTGCTAAAATTGTTCTATTTTATTAATAATTAATGGTAACCTAATTTACAAATTAAACTTTATCATAGGTATGTATGTCTGGGAAAAAAACAGTATATAGAGTTCAGTACTATATGCAATTTCAGAAATCTGCTGGGGGTTTTGGAACTTGTCCCTTGTGGATAAAGAGGGACTAGTAATTCTTTTTTATGACATTCTCCAATTCCTGATTTTCTATTTTCAGTGTGAAAGATGAGTGCAAGATCAAGATCTAGATCTAGAGGAAGAGTGCGTCGAGAGACTAATCCTGATGCACGTGTGGTTGTGAGTGCTTTAACCTCTTACTTCCATTGGCAAAAATTAGTGTTTCTGGAAAAAATTGAAAAAAAATTGATCAACCAAGGTAGATATGCTGCATAAAGAGCTTCCTTGCTGAAAATAGTTGGAAAATGAACCTCACAAATGAGACATTGAGCAAAGAAACTTAGGTCCTGGTATTGCTTAGACATGTATATTGATATGCACCTAGAAATCATCTCATTGACTTCCTTATTGTGTTTATTATTAAACAAATAACACACAGTCCAGAAAATGTCATAATGGTTTCTGGAATTATTAATCCTTGAAGATAATTTTTAAGAGTATTTTCTGTATAGGAAGAGTAACTTTATTAAATAGACTACTTATAGAGAAGAGTACAGGAAAAACCTCCTCAGATTTGTGATTAGGTGGTGACACTATGTCCGTGTAGTATGTATATTTGTGCTTTCTATCATCAGAGTATTAAATGCAGTACTTTTTATTTACAGGGCTCTGCCTCCAAGAGAGCAGGCAATAAAAAATCTCAGCGCAAGAAGCCACCAACTGTGATTCCAACTATTAAACCTGAACAAGAGAAGAAAGAAGCAGTTGCTGTTCAGAGTGACCAGGGTATGGAGGAACATTTTGTATTTTATTTCTGATGTAGCCCTAGTAACAGGAGTAAATAAAATGTTCCCTGAAAATAGGCTGGAAACCTAGTTGGTAAGGGAACAGCAGAGTTTGTTCTCTCTCTCTCTGTTTTTACTCTTTCTGCATTCTGTCCATCCATATTTAAAATTATTTGGCATGCTTGAAAAATAAGCCCTTGTCCAGGCTGTATATTAACAAATCAAAGGAAAAAGCATTTGATTCAGACAAAATTCTATACTAATTCATTAGTTAAATTTAGTCTCACTAGATTGTTATTTTCTGAGCTGCTTAAGTCATTGCATCAAAGATTTAAGCAAACCTAGCTATATTATGTTTAGCTCTTAGATTGTAAATGTAAAAAAATTTCATGATACAGAGAATGCAGATGTGATAGCCTTTCCTAGTTGCTGTTAAAGTCTTCAGTGTTTTTAGCTTCCTGAACTATAATGTAGTTGTCACATACTCTTAAAATAACTTTAACCTAGAAAAGATTTATAATACCACTTTACTCCCTGAGTAATTCCATATATATCTCCTAAAAACAAGGATGTTTTCTTATACAACCCCAACACAATGATAAAATTCAGGAAATTATTCTTGAATAGTTAGTTGGCCTAGCAATACACTTTATAGCACTGTTTTTTTCCTGATCTAGGATCCAATCCAAGGCCACCATTGCATTTAGTTGTCATCTTTCTAATCTGGATCTGTTCCTCAGTTTTATTTTGTCTTTCATGATTTTTTAAAAATTAAAAAAAAAAATTATCGATCTAGTAAATGACAAATTTTGGGGGTACATCTTAACCTCTGTGTGTATAAGCCTCACCCCCCACCACAATTCCAGTGGCCTTCCCCCTCTCAGGTTCACACCCTTTACCCTTCCCTCATCCCCCCCAACCCCCGCTCTGGTAACCACTCTGTTTTTCATGCAGTCTAAGTTATTCTTGTTGTGATTTGTTAGGTCTTTAGTTTTGGTTATTTGTATTCCACATAGGAGAGAAACCATTGAATAACTGCCTTTCACTTTCTGATTTATTTTGCTTAGCTTAAATGATTGACTTGTTTTTGGAATCCAAAACAATTGTTTTATCTATGTTCCTAAGTTTAGATTTGTCACATTTAGAGGCTTTTTTCACTTATTATTGGGGCCTGCTTCATGGCAGATAATATACTAGACCTTGAAGACATAAATAGTAAAATAATTTCTCTCTTGAACTCACAATTTTGTCAGAGAAATTCATCTAAACAGTTGACCTATTGAGATCAGTGCAACAGTAGAAGTATATACAGGTTACAAAGATGATGACTAAGTTACCTTAAACATCATTAGAAAAAGAAATACTTCATAGAGGAGGTAATATATAAGAAACACAACTTTAATGCTCACTGCATTCTTATGTATCACATTACAATACTAACTGACAGAGCTTGTTTAATAACATTAAGTTATGATGTACTGCTTAGATTAACTCTCTATTTATATAAGAAACTGATGTGGAGACTGGTGACCAGAAAGTGGATCTGAAGAAGACTGAGGAGGAGCACGGAGACGGCCCTGAGGTGGAGGAGAAGACTCCACCTGATCCGAAACCTAAAGTTTCAGAAACAGGTATGTTAGCAATTAAGAATGCAAGTCATGGGGTTGATCTTTTCCACAATATGATTATACTCTAGTAACAAATAGCACATACAAAGATTGTTTGAAAGGTAGAACAGACACCAAATGCTTCATTTAAAGACAGTGTCAGGTTAAAAATGAACCAAGTCAAAGCCATATTGTTGAGTTTAAAACATGCAAGCATTATTATTTTGTAGTATAAGTTCTTTAAGACCCAATGCACATCATCAAATACCTTTTAAAGCACATAAACTACTTAACATACCCCACTACTGATTGGATGTCTAAACAACACAGTAGTATTGATTTCTTTTTTTTTTCTTGTAATGTGCCAGAAAAAAATCACATTTTTCAAAAATCATGTTTTCTTTTAGACACCAAAGAATAATAATGGATCTGAATGTTTTGGCTTTTCTGGTTGGTTGGTTGTTCTTTTAGAACTGTGAACCTGTCTGGGAAATGGTAGTATTGTCCCCTTACATTTTAATGTTATCTTTGTGGTAGTGACTTAAAACTAGTATGGTTTTACTATCTACACTGGGACACTTGAGAGTTGAAGGGAGAGCTTTGACTGTCTATAGCAGGCCAACAGGCACAAAAGGAATGAATGGCATCCTTAATATGTATAGGCCATATAAACATTCAACTAGATGAATGAAATATTTTTGCACAAAAGAGACAAACCAAAAGGAATGTTATTTTTTATGCCTTCCCTTTAAACACTTCTAAGTAAGATATTAGTATTTTAGTTAGTATATATAATTAGAAAAATGTTTCAAATCAGTGCATTTAAATAACAGGGTTTGTCTGTTTCTTGAAGTTTTTGATTGATTTTATCTAACTGAAATCACTGGCAAATTCTACTCTCTACTTAAAATTGTCTTTAAACGAGCTAATAGAATTTAATCTGTTATGGGCTCGAGAAATCTAATTTTTTATACTGCCAAAAAGAGTGATGCTAATTGACACAGTTAGTATCTGTATGCCTGAAAATGTCCATTAGCATAGAAGTCTATGCAGTGGTTAGGGTTTTGGTTTTCATTCCATCTCATAAAACCAAAAATGTGGTGTCCTTTGTGTATGTTTATGGTCATTTAAGTAAAGTTCGAATGTACTCCAATGATTATTTTTATGTTTTAGGTGATGAACAGCAGTAAGTTTAAAAGAAGACAAGCCGAAACAAGCCATGTTGTTGTTATATTGATACATTGACTTGTCTCATTATCTCAATAAAGCTCTGCATCTTATTCAGAAGTCATGCTGCTTTTGTTAAAACTGTTCCTAGGAACTTGATATTGTTGTAAATGGTATCTTAAAACCCCTGCCTTCTGTCTAGAGCTGGTAGGTAGAAGTGCTGTTGATTTTTGTATAATTTTTTTCCTCCAGCAACTGTGCTAAACCTATTCTAATCCTTCATCTCTACATCCTGTTGGGTTTTCTACATATGCACATATAATGAGTTTTATTTCTTTCCTGTGAATATTTATCCCTTTTATTTTTGTCATTATGATACCAGCCAGATCTTTCAGTACAGTGTTGGCTAGGAGTGATGATAGTATCGATCTGAAGAGATGTGAACTTCTACATCTGAGTCATATAGTGTTGTATGCCAATGTTACCTCAGTAAAAAACAATCTAAATTAAAAATGTGATGATAGTGGACATCCTTGTTCCATTCCTGATCTCAAAGGGAAAACATTGAACACTAGGATGTATACTAGTTTTTCTTAGATTTTTTATTTTTTTGGTGGGACCCTTGCCGGCGGCCGGGGAATGAACCGGCACTGCAGAGGCTGTGGGCAGCTTTGCAGCCCAGCGCTCAACCGCAGCGCCACCAGGGGAGGCCCCTTAATAAGATATTTTTTGCTAGATGAAGGAAGTTCCTTTTTTTTTATTTCTAGTTTGCTGAGAGTGCTTCCAGTGGATTTTTGTAGGATTTTACCAAACACTTGTACTGCATCTGTTGGTGACAGATCATCTGTTATTTCTCCATTGTCTTGGTAATGTGGCATTCCTAGAATAAACCCAATTGAAGTCATGATAGATTGTCTTTTTTATGTATTACTGGATGCTTTTCCCTAAGTTTTGCATAATTTGAGCATGAGTGAAATTGGCCTATAATTTTTTTTAAGATTATGCATACAAGAACTGGGGTACAGGTCAGAGGTGGGGATGGTGGTGAGAGGATTCACCAGAGACAGAGTGGGGAGCAGAACAGGCAGACTGACTGAAATACACTGCTGAGGGGAGCAGCGGGCAAGACAGGACAGTTCTGCTGCGCCATGTGGGTCACCTCGGCCGGGAACCAAACTCGTGCTGCAGTAGCTGCAGTTTGTTTCATAGTGCTGATGTTTAACCCCTTGTGCCACCGGGGAGGCCCCTGGCCTATAATTTTTTTAAAGATTTATTTACTTATGCATACAAGAACTGGGGTGTAGGCCAGAGGTACAGGGGGTTAGAGGATTCACCAGAGACAAAGTGGGGGGGGGGCAGGACAGGTGGATCTACTGAAATACACTGCTGAGGGGAGCAGTGGGTGAGACCAGAGGTTTGCTACACCATGTGGGTCAGCTCCTTGGCAGGGCATTGAGCTCAGGCTGCAGTAGCTGGCGACAGCTTGATAACCCTGAGACTTTAACCCCTGTGCCACCAGGGAGGCCCTGGCCTATAATTTTTTATGTATGCTTTGATAGCAAAGACTTTATAAAATTAATTGAGGTTTATATCCTGTTTTTTTATTTCCTGGTAAAGTTCATCTAACATAGGAATTATTTCTTTTTTTCTTTTTCTCTTTTTTAAAGATTTATTTATTTATACAAGAACCGGGGTACAGGCCAGATTTGCAGGAGGGTGAGAGGATTCACCAGAGACAGAGCGGGAAACAGAACAGGCAGACTGATGAAATACACTGCTGAGGGGAGCAGTGGGCGTGGCAGGAGAGGTCTGTCGCGCCATGTGGGACCTTTACTGGCAGCCGGGGATCGAACCGGCACTGCAGAGGCTGCGGGCAGCTTCACAGCCCAGCGCTCAACCACTGCGTCACCAGGGGAGGCCCAGGAATTATTTCTTAAGTGTTGGATAGTATTTGCCAATGAAGCCATCTAGGCCTACAGTTCTCTTTTCAGGCAAATATTTTATTAATGATGTTAATTTCTTATTTTCTGTTTCAGTCAGTTTGGTATTTTATTTTTATAGGACTTTGGCCACCTTCTCTAGTTTTCTTTTTTTTTTTTTTTAAATAGAGGCATGTTTTATTTATTTGTTTGTTTGTTTATACAAGCACTGGGTACAGTCAGAAGCGCGGGAGGGTGAGAGAATTCACCAGAGCCAGAGCGGGGAGCAGAGCAGGCAGAAGGACCCAAGTACACTGCTGAGGGGAGCAGCGGGCGGCAGGAGAGGTCTGCGCGCCATGTGGGACCCTCCTCCGGTGGCCGGGGAGCAGCCGGGGATCGAACCGGCGCTGCAGAGGCCGCGGGCAGCTTCGCAACCCAGCGCTCAACCGCTGCGCCACCGGGGAGGCCCTCTAGTTTTCACTATACAAAGTCCATAATATACTCTCATTGTCCTCTTAATGTTTGCAGACTTACAATCATACTGCTGTTTTCATTCTTAGTGCTATCATTTATGCGTTCTTTCTTGCATTCTTAATTTAGCCAGAGGTTTGCCAATTTTACTAGTTTTTTTTCAAAATAATCCAACTTTTGGCTATGCTGATTTTATTGTATTTTTGTTTTATATTTTGTTAATTTTATTTCTCACCTCCATTTCTTTTCTCTGTTTAATCTGGTGTTTTTTTCTAACTCCTTGAGGTAGAAGTTTAGCTCATTAGTTTTCAGCCTTTTTAGTTTTTTTTTTTAAATTTTTTTTTTGTGTGTGTGTGGGACCCCCGCCGGCGCCCGGGAAATGAACCGGTGTTGCAGAGGCTGCGGGCAGCCTCGCAGCCCAGTGCTCAAACGCTGCGCCACCAGGGGAGGCCCATTTTTTTAAAAATTTTTAAATGATTTACTTTTTTCTTCTTCTTTTAAAGATTATTCATGCATACAAGGACCTGCGTAGAGGCCAGATGTGCGGGAGGGTGAGAGGATTCACCAGAGACAGAGCAGGGCACAGAACAGGCAGACTGACTGAAACACACTGCACAGGGGAGCAGCAGGCAAGACAGGAGAGGTCTGCCTTGCCATGTGGGTATCACCACCGCTGGCTTGGATCGAACCCATGCTGCAGAGGCTGCGGACAGCTTCACAGCACTGCACTCAATCGCCTGTGCCACCAGGGAAGCCCCTGAATTACTTTTTTCTTAGTTTTGGACAATATATAATTTTCCTCTCAGGTGTGGTCACCATAGTTCTCCCATCACCAAATCACCCATAGTCCTTTACCATATTCCCTTGTGCTCTTCCCCACCCCCACTTTCACCCCTGCCCCTCCCGTCCTGGCTGGCTCATATCTGGTCAGCCTTCAAGGCTTGTCTTTGACCCTTTGTTTGCTTTCTCCAGGTTCCACATACAAGTGAAGTTGTCCAATAGTTAACATTTTCCTTCTTATTTTGCTTAGCGTAATTCCTTTCAACTCCATCCACGTTGCTGCAAATGGCATGAGATCTTTTTTGATCACTGAGTAGTTTTCCATTGTGTATATATACCACATCTTGACCCACTCGTCTTTTTTGGGGCAGTTAGGTTGTTTTCCATATCTTCGCTATTGTAAATAGTGCTGATACGAACACAGGGTCGTAGGTTTCTTTCAAAGTAGTTTTTATGTTCTTTGGGAAGATTTCTAAGAGTGGAATAGCTGGGTTGTATGGCAGATCCATTTTTAGTGTTTTGAGGAACCGCCACACAGCTTTCCAGTGGCTGGAACAGTATACCTTCCCACCAATGGTAAGAGTGTTACACCATTGAGTGCACTTTCCTGATGATAAGCGATTATGAACATTTTTTCATATGCCTGTTGGCCATTCTTTGGAGAAGTGTCTATATAACTCTTTTGCCCATTTTTTTGATTGGGTTGTTTGATTTGTTTTTGTTGAGTTGTGTAAGCTCTTTATAGATCTTTGATATCAGTCCCTTATGGGTCGTATGGAATGCAAATATTTTCTCCCATTCAGTAAGGTGTATCTTCATTTTGGTTACTGTCTCTTGAGTTTTCAGCCTTTCAATATATGCTTTTAAGTTACAACTTTTAAAATAGGGCTTTAACTTCATCTCAAGTTTTGATATATAGTATTTTTATTATTAAACTCAGTATTTTCTAATTCTCATTCTGATATCTTTGAAATATGGATTACTTCTAAGCACTTCCTTTTTCATCCTTCTATTGTAGTATCATTGGTTTAAAACACTATATAAGTTTCAGGAGTATAGCTTCACATCTGGACAAATGTGATACCACACCATCCCACATCTAAAGGTCTTGTTGCCATGCACCACCACCTAATAGATCCCTGCCCATTCCACACTTCCTTCCCTGCTGGTAACCACCATCCTGTTGACAGAATCAAAAGAGTTTTTTGTTTATTTTTTTGCATGGAACTGGAATATGGGCCAGAGGTGTGGGGGTGAAAGGGTTCACCAGAGACAGAGCAGGGAGCAGAACAGGCAGATCTACTGAAATACACTGCTGAGGGGAGCAGCGGGCAAGGCAGGAGAAGTCTGCTGTGCCGTGTGGGTAGCTCCCTGGCCAGGGACAGAACTCGGGCTGTAACAGTGATAGCACTGAGACTTAACCCCCTAGGCCACCAGGGAGGCCCCCAAAGGTTTATTTTTGCTTTGTTTCTTCATTCCACATAGGAGTGAAGTTATACTTCTTGTCCTGACACATCTTTACAACATGGATGGAACTTGAGGGGATTATGCTAAGTGAAATAAGTATTTTTCAACTTCCAAACATTTGAGCATTTTGTAACTGTCTTTTGGTTATGCCACACAGATAACTGACACATGTGTTTATAAGAAACATCTAAAACAGAAGAATTCAGAAAAGCTGAAAGTGAAAAGCAGGATAAAAAATATTCTGCACAAAATAGCTTTATTATAAACAATTATTACTAGAAACAAGGGATAATTATAAAAAATTCATCAGGGAGAATTAACAATTTTATATATGAACTTAACATGACTTCAAAATGTAATGGGAAAATAGAACTACAGAAAGTAACAGAATGAGCAGACCAAAATCTGTAAGAAAAAGTAAGATTTGCACATCATGATTAACAAATATTTTCTCATGGAGGTACGTACAACTCTGTTCAACGACTGAAACCATATTC